TCTCTCTCTCTCTCTCTCATGTTGTTGTCTAATTGTAGTTTTACATTGTTTCTGTCTCATGTCTGGCTGTGATCTGTGTATATCAGAATTAAGGCTCGCTGTGACATAGAGGGATTCACATGCTATAAAAAGACCCTGATTAGTAATGCACTCATGCACAGCGACCTTAATGTCAATGGTATTTATAGAACCGATTTATTTCCTCTGGCTTTGAGGCTTTCCAAACTTTCCAGGCCACCAATGTCCCTAGATGCAGTTCAGGAGGTCTAAAATCAAAGGGCCTTTTTTCAGTTCGAGTTCTCTGCTTTTTCACTTAAACAGTCTGTTCTTTCAATTCATGAACGCACTCAAGTTGGCTGTAGTGAGATGTGTGATGGACATTGTAAGCATCACGTAGGGAATATGCACACCCAGGGGAACGGCACTTGAGCAGTGTGTTCACAAACGTCATGAAAGTTCTCAGGAACATCACATCAAATGTAGATGGACAAACGAGCATCTCAGTCCCTCTTGGCCCCACGCGTAAACACACAAACACATGCACACATTCATAAACAAATATGAACACACAGACACATTGACTGGTGGTCTGTTGCTGACACACCTTCGGGTGGAGCAGGTGTTGTGTTTCTCAGGAATGTGAGAGTTGTTGAAAAAGAGCTGAGGCATTGTGCACAGACTGATTTCCCATGAGAACCGCACGCATACAGCCACCAGATACCCTAAACCAGACATAAACACTAGTATTAAGGTTGAAAATACTTTAAAAGAGGCAATTGCACCATAATTGACATTTTATAGAAGAGTGGGAAAGAACCAATTTTGCTGAAAACAATTGATTGACTTGTCTTTCAAACATAGGTAAGTGGCCTGCCAACACCTGACCTCATCTGGCAGCTGAATGGCCAGACCATCCGTCCAGACCCCTCCCACAAGATGCTGGTGAGGGAGAACGGGGTTCACTCATTGGTCATTGAGCCTGTCACTAGCAGAGATGCAGGAGTTTACACGTGCATCGCCAGCAACAGAGCTGGACAGAACTCATTCAACCTAGAGCTCATCGTTGCAGGTACACAATCATTATCATCTGCACAACCATAGAGTGCAACTTGTAATGGAAGACACTGTACTAAGATGTATTGTAAATTATTATTATAAAATGTAAATAAAAATAATGAGATGGAAAGAATAAGATGCATGCCATTCTGGTGAAAAAATAAATGTACATTAGCGAAGAAAAGGTTGGGGTTGGTAAGATTTTTT